ATAAAACATTTTAGACTAAGAAATATGAGAAATTTCTTATTTTTTTCATATTAAAATTATATTTAAAATATAAAATATTAATATATATCCATTGCTAGGTCATTCGATTTTGGTTGGTTTACAAATGGCCAAAGTGAAACTGATCCAACTTGGTCGAATTGGGAAACTTTTGAACCAAATCCGACCTAAAATACTAGAAAACTGACCAACTCAGGTTGAGTTTATAGGGTTGGTCGGTTACATCAATTTGATGAATAAACCTAACTGAAATTAATTATTGTTATTTTTGTATTATAAAAAATTTATTAAAAGTAGTATATAAAATATGAATAATTATTAATTATTTAAAAAGTTGAAAATTTAAAACAATTGTATACTCTTGTGTGTTTCTATTGGGGTCATTTACTAGAACACACCTTATAGTTTTACATATTTACTTAAACCTACCTTATAGTTTTCATTTTACTAAAACATCTCATAGATTATACAACTTTTACTTAATCAACCTTTCATTAAGGAGTGTTTGTTTTTCCATTAGGCCCATGATTTTTTATTCCAAAAATACCCTTAATAATTTTTTGTACAAAAAACAAAATTGACCATATAGCCAACAGAATGGTTGTTTGTCTTATTAAGGGCAAAAAAGGTATTTTTATTTTTATTTTCTTTTGATTAAATCTATTGCAAATTATTAGGGTTTTAGTAAAATGTTAATTACTATATGATAGATTTTATTAAATCCATGAAAATATAAGGGGTATTTTAGTAAATGACCATATTTATTATTTAGCTTTCACTTAATAAATCCCGTGCATCGCACAGGTCCCCGCTAGTATTTATGAAAGCAAGTCCTTTCATAATTCCTAAGCAATGTAGGATTTGATCATTTGAGACAAGTTTAAATATGTATGCTCAATAATGAGAGATGTCTCAAATCCTACATTGCTCAGAAATTATGTTGAAAGCTTTACGTTAGAGAGACAACCATCTATAGATGCCCATAATTATTTTGTCAATAGACCAAAAAAGGGCCCACATAATATTTAATTTATTTTATTTCATATTTTTATATCATATAATTTAAAATTCCACAAATAATTAAATTTTCTTTATCTAGTGCCATGAGCCCAAAGTCTAGCTTGGGCCTAGGCTTATATTTTAGGTCCAAAGTAGGACTCGGCCCAAGCCTAGGCCATAGCTCTTATATAAGTGCTTATCCCAGCTCGGCCACACCCAATCTAAGTACTTGGTGTCTTCTACCTACAAGTTGTTCCCACATCCATACCCACTGAGCATCACCACCATGTATTGGGAACATCACTTTATGAATGACAAGGGAGATATTTCCAATGCGCAACTGTAATGTCTCATGGCTAGGTAGGGGTGCAAATGGATCCGATCCGATCTGAGAAGATCCAATCTTATATATATTATATATTTATAAATATAAATATATATAATACATATATACGTTATTTATTTATTTATAAATATATTTTTATACTATATTTTCATAAATTTGTTATATTATTTATTTTTTTATAAAAAGCATGTATATATACGATGAAAATAATTAAAAAATGCTTGTGTTTTTTGTTTTTACTTTATTTAAATTAGTATATTTTATTTTTATTTTAATAATTTATTAACTTAAAAAAAAAAAAACAAGTCGGATCAGATCAGAACCGAAGATCGGACTTACCAATAAGATTCAAATTCAAATCAAATCCTATCAAATCCGATCAGATCAGATCCAACATAAACAGTATCAGATCGGATTCGAATATACCCGATCTATTTAGATGGTGTGGGAACAGCTCGTGGGTAGCGGATTCGAACCCTGATCTCAGTTAAGTTATTTATAAGAGCGTTTGGTTAGTTTCTCCATTATGAAGAAACTGACAAGTCTGTCTGTTGGGAAACCTGTCCCTTGTATATATATGTGGAAAACTCAAACGCTTGTTTTGTAAATGCCCCAGCATCCTCTCTCTCTCTCTCGCTCTTTCTTCCTCTCCACCCATCCAAGGTACAACCTAACAAACCAAACAAAAAAATAAAACATCAATTAGTTCGATTTGCAATTTGACTTGGGTCGATGTCGATCGCTTCGGGTGGAGCCAAAAGTCACTAATGATCCAAGTTCGATTTGCAATTTTTAATGATCCAGCAGTTGCAATTAATCCAACAAATGATGAATGAAGGACAAAGAAAACGGTTCTTCCATGTAGTTGCTTGGCACATGATCGTTGTCCGTTGACAAATTATGGGCATCCAAGGTCAGGCAGCAATCAACAATGGCTTATGGAAATCAGCTTCCCATAACCGAGCTACAGGCCCCACACAAATGAGTCATGAATCATCTTTATATGAAAGCTACGGATAGAGTTACAGTGAGACTTTCGTCTTTAATTGAGGGCCTGCATTTATGGATAATATAGGGTATTTGGTACTATTGTTGTTTCTACCTAAAATGTTTTGAGTTGATAAATAAGAAGTGGTGAGAGATATGTGTTGTCACCTATTATAAGCCACTTCAGTTATAATGTTTAAATTTTAACTTTATTTTTTTGAAGCAAGAAACATAAAGGTATATTTAGGTTTCTTTTGCTTTTCCATAAATTATTTATCTGGATAAATGCACTTATTCATGTTCTTTTATTCTAAAGTAAATAAGACGATGACCATTTTAGCCATAAAAATCTGTTATTAAAAGGGATACTTTTATCCCATTCAAGTGTCAATTTTCTCCCCGGGTGAGAAAGTTATTTATCCACCTAGGAGATTGATACCCATGAAAATAAACTTTAGTTTTCCCATCCCCACATAAATCTGAAAAAAGAACATAGGTTTCTTGAATTTCATTGACTAACTTTCCCCCTCTCAAAATCCGAAAAAAAAGAACGCCCCCTTAGTGTACATGCACTTTTAGGGCATTGCCATTTTCATCAACCATAATCAGTCTCAAATAACAGTTTTATGCCAATTGTTTGGATCAACCAAAAACGTTTCAGCTAAAAACAGCAATGGTACAAAGCCAAATCCATAGCTTTGATCTGACCACTTTGGTAAGCCACCACCCATCGATCAGGCTTGACATAGATGTGGCCTGGAATTGGAATACCTGAACATGTAAGCATCTACGGTTCATAAACGGCGCACATCTATATTATATACTAAAACACAGTTATCCACACCAGTTTACCCTTTTTGCTTCCCAACCATTTAGAATTTTGTGGTTTTCTTATTAAAAAAAGAAAAAGAAAATTGTTTAAAACTCAAATGACTTTTCAGCATTTCTCTTTAAACTCACCATAACTTTTGACACAAACTTGCGGGTGTTAGTAAATTACCATTTTAGCCTTTGTTATATTTGACCCGTTTTTCAATTCCAAAATTACCTCAATTATTATTCAATCCAAAACCCATTTTTCAGCTTCCTTGGAATACTTTTAAGCAGAACAATAAGAGCAAAACGTCTCTCAACAAGTAGGAATCTCATATATAAGGCAGTTTGGCGCTTAGGGCATTTTAGTCATGTTTAATAAGGCTGACTTGTCATTCAGGGGCAGTTTGGTCATGAAAATTGCATTTATGCTGACATGGGTAACTTCTGTCAATGTACACTAACAGTTCTCTAACAGATGATTAATTTTGGAAAATAAAAACTCACTGACATGAGGTTCCTTGGACGTTTTAAAAAGTTATGGTGAGTTTAAGAAAAATGCTGAAAAGTCATGGTAAGGTTTTAGACAAATTCCCAAAAAAATGTAAAAAATATAGGGTCTTCTAGTATTCTTTAATTTTTAGCCCAATTATTCAAATCCTATGCCCATTTGTAATAGGGAAAATCTATTATGCCAGAAATGTTTTAGACAACCCCTGTGAATTTTGATGAAAATCCACTTGATTGGTTCTTACTATTATGATGCTGATTGATTGGTTGTATGTTTTTTGGTATCATGTCTTATTTCTGGCATCATAGTGGAACCCTTTGTAATAGTAGGTGGAAAATCACCCCCACCAATGAGACATGACAAATCATATCCTTTCATCATTTTGATTGGACTTTTCTTTTTTATTTTTGGTTGTTATTTTCTATATCATTAATTATCATAGCGTCCCTTTTTTTTTGTAGAAATAGGAGGAGCTACACAAGACAGGAGTAGCTCGGCCCCATTATGATAGAGTCCCTAAAACACAAATTAAGGCAGTTAATAGTCAACGGGAGGATTTGTTGGCGGCAGGCCAAAGCAAGACGGCAGAATGCTGAGTCTGGATCTCCTGCCTATGTCTATCACAATCACACATGGAGAACATCTCATCCTCTGCATAGTACTATGCAGGGGGAGATGTTCCCAATTCACGGGGGTAGTGTGCTGTGGGTAGACGTGGACAGGGTTCTCGTGAGCAGGAGATCCAGAATGCTACAACTATAGATTTGTTGACGAATGCCAAACAGGGCTTCAATCTGCTACTCATAAGTTGTTCTCGCGTCTCTACCCAAAAAACATTACTTTTTTTTTATATATTTTCTAAAAGACACCAGAAGAAGACCTTGTATATAAAACATTATAGCTGCGTATAGTACAGGAATTATCGTTCCAAATGAGGGAGGTACTCATGCTAGTATTGAGCGTTGCACAAACAATATTCGAGCTCTTGCGGCTGTAGTGTCTGGGCCGCTTTAAAGAAGCCACCAGAAGAAGAAGCTTCGCTGGAAAGTCCTATTACTGGTAAGCCACGCATAAATAACATATGACGAAAGGAGATCTAATTATCAGCCATGAGGCTTAGAATCACAGGCAACTTCGAGGAAAGAGAAGCTCCCAACGGAAGAGCCATCATTTTCTTGGAGTAGAAATCCCCAGAACACCTTTATAAAACCCTCTTTATCTGCAACTCCACTGTCACCAACGCAACTTAGCTCCCTCCATTAACACCCACCTCTCCCTTTTCTCCTCTCTCTCTCTCTCTGGTTTATTTAGTTGTCGATACGTGCAATGGCTGAAGAGAATGATCTCATATTTGAAGATTACTTTCCGTCAATGGTAGTGAGCATGGGTGCTGATCGGTTTATTGCAGAACTCTGCTACGGATTCTGTCTGCTAATGGATCACACCAAGGGTGTCATCACATTCGAGAGCCTGAAGAGAAACACTTACCTTCTGGGTGTACAAGACTTGGGAGACGAAGAGATCTTTTGTATGTTAAAGGAAGGAGATCTGGATGGTGATGGGGCACTGAATCAAAAGGAATTCTGTTTACTCATGTGCACATTGAGTTTCGATTTCACCAAAAACAGCTCAACAAGGTTGCTGGAAGAAACCATTTGATGAAATGAGTACTCTCAGGCTTTCATGAGTATGCATTTTGGTTTTAGTTTAATTTCCAATCATGTGTGTAATGCATGGTTTGGTTCCGTATATGATGATGTCACTTAATTTGGAAGGATGCAATGGGCTTGGGCCTCCTCATTTCGAGCCTATCTGTACTCATTTGTCCTATCCAAAATAACAAATTGCCATTTCTCAATTCTCATCCACAGCCAAACTTGTTCTAGTGTTCCAGCATGCATTTAATTACTAAGAGTGCAAATGTACTCGGATTCTGTTTGGTAGGCATTTGTGGGTATTTGGTAGTAACACAACTTTATACTAAAAATGAAAGTAAATTTGTTTCTTTTGATATATTTGTATTCAAAATGAGAGCAAAATGAAAGCAAATTTTTCCCGTCAAAGTCAGACAATAGCTACGTAGATTCCAATCTTAAAATTCATGTTTGTATACATTGCAATCAAATACAATATACAAAATTAACAGTGCAAATTTTGCATTTACATCAATACACATGATTTTTTCACTCCAACCAAACACAGGCCAATACCTACTCAAAATAAAGCCCAACCTTAGGAGTGAGTCACTTAGGCTCAGTTTGGAAGGAGTACAAATTCAAATATATACAGTGTAAATACATAATATAAGGTTTTGCACTCTACATATTTGCATTTGTACTCCTTCCAAACTGAGCCTTAGTTTGACCAAAGTCCATACCGTACATAGCTTCTTCCTGGTGGCATACTAGTAAATAGATTAGGCGTATATCAAAAATTTTTACCTGCATATTACACCATATCTAATAAATTCTTTTTGGTAGTGCTTCACTTATCTGGATTGGACTCATGAGATGTAGAGTGTTAATCTATATCTATACTACTATTAAAAGTGTGAATGATAGTGTGAAACTTTTGTTTGACCAAAATACCCCAATTTTTTAATTTGGTTCATCTCTAATTGTAAGGACAAAAATGTAATTGAACAACCACTTTTCTCCTCATTCAAATCCCTCTCATTGAGTCTTATGTTTAAGGTATTAACTCCCTTTTCCATTGAATCATATATTAATTAACCATATTAAATAAAAATAAGTGCAATAAAGAATAATTCTTTTTTATTGAAGATAGAAATAAAATGCACATTTAAAACCAACCCAAAAATAGAGCTGATTTCCTATTTTGTGGCGAGTCAGCAATTCAACCTTTTGGATCAAATGTGTAAACCCTAGATGTTATAATTAAATAATAATAGTAATAATAATTATTATTAAAAAAGATAAAAAAAATACACAAATGTATAAAAGTACAAAAGAAAAATTATAAAAAATATTTGGTCACACCTCTAGCATCATATATTCATCATATTAAACAAAAATAAGTGTGACAAATAAGAATAATTTTATCTACATAGAAATATAAAAAAATATAAAATATTTTAGAAACATATTGTTTACTATCATCACAAAAAATTGCCACGTGCTCATGTACACTTACTAATAAAAAGATGATCTCTTTGTATCCTACAGAATGATTGTAGTGTTGACTTATTGCATGATCCTTGGTGTGGAAAGGGATGTCCTCTTAAGTGATGTCATTTCTACCTATCTTAATTTGGGGTGGGTGTCCCATTAAATTGATCATGACAACATGACTTGGAACCAAGATGCCATCTCCTCAAAAGTTCAAGGGATTTGATGAGCAAGATATGAAGAATTCCATTACCACATCCAAATATAAAGGCACAAGATTGTTTGATATGGACTTTTACACCCCATGGGAAGTTTACAACTTCTTTGTTCTTAAAATTGCTTGCCTCAAAAGCACCAAATGGGTCCACAACGAGTTCTCTTCATAATAAATGAAATGGAGGCACCTATGGAAGATGAAGTTTCTACCTCGATCAATTAAACTCTTCCTATAGAGGTGTATATATCCATAATGGTTTGCCTTCAAAAGAAAGGCTTGCATATGTGGAGAAGAAGTAGAAACTATTCTTTATATACTCTACCTATGTCTACTTGTTTAGACCATCTGGTTCGGATCTTGTATGTAATTCAATCTTACTCTTTACAACTTCTAGAACATAGTAGAGATTATTGTTCTATAGTGGCAACTTGACCAGGATGGAATGAAGACGATGGGTGTCTCCTATATATAAGGTGGCATTTGTTGCGCAGATAGCCTAACCCAAGAGAGATGAATTGGGTACTAAAAAGAATTTTCCCTAACTAATGACTTCTAAAACTGGGAACTGGGAAATGTAAAGTTCATGGAGTCGAAGGCTCTATGTTGTGTGTGTGTTGAACAATGTAATGCAATGCAAATAACAGAACAATCAAATAAGTAAAGATCAACAAGTAAAGCAATTGATTACAGAAAAAAAAAATAATGCATAAAAGGAATTTTATAGTGGTTTAGCTAAACCCAAGAGTATGCTCTCTACTTAAGTAACCTATTGAAAATTCCACTAAAACCAATTGGACTTCTGGGTGTCAACCAAACCTTACAACATTAGGACTTCCCGTTGCCTACAAGACCTAAATCGGTTGAACTTCCATGTGTCAACCAAACCTAAACAGTTGGATTACAAATACCAACTAGACCTTTAATGGGGTTCAAACTAGAACACACAGACACAACAAACATAGAAATGCAAGTACAAATACAACAAATAACTCTTATCAAGTTGATAAAAATAGAAACAATACAAATTATGCTAGATACAAAAGTATGCACAATAACTATAGGCTCAAGCTCTTGAAAAGATTCAAGAAATTTCAATGAAAAACAATAAAGCCCAAAAATTACTCAGTTTTTTTTTTCTACTATAGAATTTATAAAAACTCAAAAATTTGTTCTTGATGTGGGTATATTTGGTCAGCTCATTGGATCCTGACACGTGGCATCAGCCAGGGTTATTACCAACTAGCGACTTTTCATTAAGGGCACTTGGGTAATTCCCGCCCTTGAATGGTTCACCGAGCACTTAATGTGGATGTACATCCTAAGTGCATTTACTCCTTGGCCAGTGGTGTGGGGTCGTGAATGGCTGATGCCCCTTCATATCCCTTTACATGACTGCAATACATGGAACAGTTACATGACATGCATTACCCCCCCCCCCCCATCGAGCAACTCCCACTATAAAAGGGACACTACAACCAGAGATAGATACATTTACAAAATCTATCACTCGCACTCTTGTGGTGATCTCTATTCTCCTTGAGCCCTCGTCTAACTTGACTATTGGAGTCCCCACCCCTGGGAACACTCCCAAGGCCTCTGACGTCCTTTCACTATTGACAGGTGGTACATCGGCCTTCTGACCTCGAAAATTACTTGGCTTCCCTCTACTGCAAATTTGGTAGCATCATTTTAAGTTGTCTGTAGTCGACCCCTGTTTGCTGCTTTTCCAACTAACAACACAGGACCCCATCGTGAAGATGTAACCAGATGTAGACTTTCTATCGTCTAGGTCTGACTGAAAGTCAGCGTTGGTATACCCTACGATTTGTAGTGAACTACCATCGAATACCAGACAAAACTCCTTTATCCTTTGAAGGTATTTCAGTATGTTTTTCACAACTATCCAATGCTCCTGTCCTACGTTAGATTGGTATCTACTTACCACACTCACTGCCTAAGCAATGTCAAGTCGAGTGCACAACATGGCATACATGATACTCCCTACGATTGAAGCATAAATAACCTCTCTCTTGCCCTCAATCTCCTTGGGAGTCTTGGAAGACATTCCCTTGGAGAGAGTGGATTCGTGCCTGAAAAGAACATTTCCTTTCTTGGAGTTCTCCATACTGTATCTCTTGACAATTTTGTCTATGTAAGTGGACTGGGATAATCCTATTATCCTCTTTGATCTATCTCTATAGAGTCGAAAACCCAAGATGTAGAAAGCTTCTCCAAGATCTTTCATGGAGAATTGCTGTGAAAGCCACATTTTCACCGTAGTTAACATCCCTACATCATTCCCAATGAGTAAAATGTCATCTACATATAAAACCAGGAACGTAACCTTATCTCCCACTATCTTCATATAAATACAAGGCTCATCCAGATTCTACTCAAACTCAAATTGTTTGAGAGTAGAGTCAAATCGGATGTTCCAACTCCTAGAAGCTTGCTTAAGTCTATATATGGATCGATTAAGTTTACACACCATGTGTTCCTGACCTACAGCAATGAATCCTTGCGGTTGTTGCGTGTAGATATCTTTAGTAAGATGTCTCTTTCATGGAGAATTGATGTGAAAGCCACATTTTCACCGTAGTTAACATCCCTACATCAATCCCAATGAGTAGGATGTCATCTACATATAGAACTACGAACATAACCTTATCTTCCACTATCTTCCAGTAAATACAAGGCTCATCCGAATTCTACTCAAAATCAAATTGTTTGACAATAGAGTCAAATCGAATGTTCCAACTCCTAGAAACTTGCTTAAGTCCATATATGGATCAATTAAGTTTACACACCATGTGTTCCTAACCTGTAGCAATGAATCCTTGTGGTTGCTGCGTGTAGATATCTTCAGTAATATCTCTATTAAGGAATGCAATTTTGACATCCATTTGCCAAATCTCGTAGTCATTGTGTGCTACTACAGCTAACAGGATCCTAATAGACTTAAGCAAGGCTATTGGTGAAAAGGTTTCCTCATAGTAGATCCCCTCTTTCTGAATGTACCCTTTCTCCACATGATGAGCTTTATAAGTCACAATGTTACCATCAGGGTCCTTCTTCCTCTTGTAGATCCATTTGCAACCAATTGCTTTCACCCTAGGGGGTAGGTCTACAAGAGTCCAGACCTTGTTGGTCTCCATCGAGTCCATCTCAGCTTTCATGGCATTTACCCACTTCAAGGAATCTATGTCCAACATAGTTTCCATATAAGTCATGGGATCCTCCTCACTGATCATAGCTTCCATCAAGTAACTTCCTTGATCATAGTCGTAACGAACTGGAGGCCTAGATAACTAGGT